TTTCCTCAATTTTTTTTTTTTTTTGGTATAAAATGAAGGTGAAGGCTCCAATTTATGGGCTTAGTAAGGAGAACGAATTTCCTAGGAGCCTTGCAAGATTAAGATAGAAGATTTGCAAGATTATATTAATCCAAAAAGATAGAGTTCATCCAAGACGGGATAAGGAGGTTAAAAGAGAAGATATCTATTTATTTATCCATATTTTCTTGTGATTTTAAATTACCTCCAAGTTGGGTATTGAACATCTAGTCCAATGGACTGATCACCTCTAAATACCCAACATAATTGGACTACTTAAATTGTGGTGTGGATTTAATTTTTCAATCCTGGACTTATAGCCTATGAATTTAAAACGGGCCTCGATTTTTTATCATCGCCTAGGGGATTTGGGCATCGCTTACCAAACATGCCCAACAACCTCCACCTTTATGCCAAATTATCCTGCAAGTCAGATAAGATAACAAATAGCTTAAGAGAGAAACTTAAAAGTTTGTACCGATATTTAGAAGATCAAGACAGCTTCTAAACTTTACCAATGGGAGCACCTTAGTTCCCATATCTGCAGGATTATATTCTGAAAGGACTTTCTCAAGTTTTACAAGTTCTTGAGAAACCATTTCTCTAATGAAATGCAATCTAACATCTATATGTTTAGTACGTTCATAAAAGACAGGATTTTTGCATAGGTGAATAGGAGATTGACTATCAGAATATATTGTCACATTATCCTTAAAAACACCAAGTTCATTTAATACACCTTTAAACCACAAAGATTCTTTAAAGACTTCAATAGCAGCAATATATTTTGATTCAGTAGTGGATAATGTAACAACATGTTGAAGTTGTGATTTCCAACTAACACATGAATTACACAAAGCAAACATGTAGGAAGATGTAGATTTCCTATTATCTCTATCACCAGCATAGTTAGTATCAGTAAAACCTTTCAATTTTATTCCTTNAACAACTTCAAGTTGGGACCAATCAAAAGCATATCATCCACGCATAGCAACAAAAACATACAGTCATTATTGTTTACATTACCCTGATAGTACAAGCAATGATCAAATTCACTCTTTTTAAAATCAATTGTTTTAACAAACGAATCAAAATATTTATACCATTGTCTAGGAGATTGTTTTAAACCATTTAAAGAGCGTTTAAGAAAACACACATGATCAGGTTTTTGTTTATTTTCAAAACCTTTAGGTTCATCTATGAAAATCTTTTCATCAAGTTCTCCATGCAGAAAAGCAGTTTTAACATCAAGTTGTTCAAGTTCCCAATTGAAATGTGCAACTAATGCAAGCATAGTCCTAATTGTGGTATACTTAACAACTGGAGAAAAGATCTCATTATAATCTACTCCTTTCTTTTGTGTGTAACCTTTGGCCAAAAGTCTAGCCTTAAACCTCAAACCCTTTCCTTTGGTAATTCACTTCTTAATTCTAAAAATCCATGTACACTCAATTATTGACTTGTCTTTAGGTCTTGGAACTAATTCCCATGTGTGATTCTTATCGAGGAAATTTATCTCTTCTTTCATTGCTTTCACCTAATTCTCAGATTGTTCGCTCCTTAAGGCTTATTCATACGTGTTTGGTTCCCTATCAACTAGTTCTTCATAACTAGCATAAGCAAACTCAAAGTTAGACTCTAACCTTTGAGGCACTCTATGTGTTCTTCTAACTTTGTCTCTAGCTAACTGGTAATCATACAAAGGGTTTTGATCTCCTTGATATTCCTCTATAACTTCATCTCTCTCAATATTTTCACTCTGATTTTCTTCTAGTTCAGGATTTTGATGCTCCACCTCGATTGAGGTGGTGGGGGTTTGAACACTTAAGGACCTTAAATTTACTTGAGATTTGTCACTAATATTTTCTTGTTGTTTTTCTCTCAAGGTGTCACTTTCTGATTTTAGACATGGCATTCCAGACTCATTAAATGTAACATCACGACTTATGATGATCTTAACTCCATTTTGACTTCTATCCCAAAGTCTATTCCCTATAATTCCTTCAGGATATCCTAAGAAAACACATTTCCTAACTTTAGGTTCTAGTTTTCCCTCATCTTTAATTCCTTCAGGATATCCTAAGAAAACACATTTCCTAACTTTAGGTTCTAGTTTTCCCTCCTTTTGATGAGAGAAAGCAGCACAGCCAAAAGTTTTTAACATAGTATAGTCAGCACATTTACCATACCATTTTTCATGTGGAGTATCACCATTTAGTGCAGTAGAAGGTGTCAAATTAATCAGATAACATGCAGTGATAACAGCTTCACCCCAAAAAGATTTAGGAATTCTAGAACTCAACATCATACATCTAACTTTGTCAAGTAAAGTACAATTCATACATTCAGCCACCCCATTTTGTTGAGGTGTATAAGGAACAGTTTTATGTCTAGTAATTCCACATTTTTCACACAGATCTTCAAAATCATTATTACAGAACTCGAGGCCATTATCAGTTCTTAAATATTTTATCTTTTTGCCAGTTTGAGTTTCAACTTGCAATTTCCATATTTTAAAAATTTTAAAGGTTTCGATTTTATCTTTTAACAGATAAACCCACACCCTACGAGAGTAATCATCAATTATGGACATAAAATATCTATTACCACCCATTGTAGGATTAGTAGCAGACCCCCATAAATCAGTATGAATATATTCCAAGACTTTAGTAGTTTTATGCATACCAAATGAAAAAGATGGCCAAGTATACAGTGATCACAGAAAGGCATATTAAACACACAGTCTTTTCCAAATACACCTTTATCATTTAGCAGTTTAAGTCTTTTAATACTTATGTGAGCTAATCTATTGTGTCACTTGTGTGTGTCATCGGTGTTGGTCAAATTTATAGAAGAAGTTGAATTTTTAACAATTTCAGCAGTGATCACATAAATACCATTTCTTTTAATACATTTACATGTGACAAGTGCACCCTTAATCATTTTAAACATGTTGTTTCTAATTTTATTAGTAAAATCATCAGTTTCTAATGCTCCTACTGAAATAAGATTTCTAGCCATTTCAATAATATATCTAACTCTATATAATTTAAGCACATAACCAGTGTCACATTTTAACGTGATATCACCAATGCCAGCAATTTTATATGCATGATTATTGCACAAAATAACATGACCACTTTCAGATTCTTGCATATTTTCAAACCAATCTTTATGTGATGAAACATGAAATGATGCACCAAAATCAAGTATCCATTCATTTAAATGTGATTTCACAGTCAAATTTACTTCAGTAGGCTTAGAGTTTAATAACACATATACTTCACAAAATTCATCAGAGGAAGTAATAACATTTGCCTCATCGTGAATCTTTTCCTTTTATTTGTTTTTCTCAACATAACAATCTTTAATGAAGTGTCCAGTTTTACCGCAACCATAGCATTTTCTATCTTTAGTTTTATTTCTTGACCTGGATAAACTTCTACTTTTCTTTTTACTACCAGACGTGTATCCACTTTGGTTATCACGGGTTCTTGACCGAGACCTCTCATAATATGAACCTCACCACTTCTTCTCTCGACTCTCTCAGCTCACATTTTCATTTCTTTACTTCTTAACGAGTCTATGACAATTTCAGGAGTCAAAGTATCTCTCCCATATTTAATAGCATTTTTAACATCTCTATAAGTTTCAGGGATAGCATTTAACAAAATTATTATTTTATACTCTTCAGATACTTTTTCACCATATTCAGTGATATCTTGCACGAATTTATTAAAGATATCCAAATTATCATCCAAATCTTTTGAAGAATCGATTTTGAAGCTAAAAAAGCTTTTAAGTAGAAAAAGTTTGTTTGGACTTGATTTAGACACATAAAGTTCCTCCAGTTTTTTCCAAAGTTCTTGAGCTGATTTTAATTTACTAACTTTTCTTAATACCGCATCAGACAGGTGTAATATTATAGAAGTGTATGCCAATTCGTCAATATTCTATTTTTCTTCATTAGTCAAGTTTGCAGGAAAAGAGTCATCAATAGCTTTGAAAACTTTTTGTTGAACAAGAATACCTTTCATTTTTTGTTGTCAAATTGAAAAATTTCTTTTACCATTAAAGACACCAAATTCAAAGTGACGTGTCGACATTTTACCAAAAAATGCACAGAACACAAATTTATATATGTAAAAGTCATAGGTCACAGATTACACGGAGTAACAAGATTCCTATGGTTTCACAATAATGCGCTATTCTAGAACCCAGGGTTTCGTAAGAATCGAGTTCTCAAATCAAGGGAAGAATTAGAATATAAGTCTGGGTACAAGTCTAAAATAATACGTTCAACAAATTAATCTAATGACGAATAAATAATTTTACTTAGAAAATTAAACAGATAATGGCAAGTAATCCTAGGTTCTATCAACAAGCAAAGGTTGCCAAGCAATGACAACCCCCAATCCTAATGATCACCCCACATGATGATATGCTAATGCAATAATGTAAAGTTTCAGCCAATTTACCAGAGCGGACTTGTATGAGTCCGTAAATTATGAGAGATGCGAATTTACTGCTTTAGGGCCGCAATTTTGGCCTAAAGTAATTTAGTAAATATGTGATAATTTCGACCATTGATCCACCACAGGCAAAATCGTCCAACTTTTTCTGTGTAACCTGAAACAGAAAACTTCCAACACGAAAAATAATGTGAGGAATAAACTGTCTGGAGATAACTTCCCCAGAATCTGAGCCACTCGTCCTCATGCGCTGCCGTCAAAATCACGCGCCGCACATCCAGCACCGCCTCCACCTGCATGTCTCAACCCTGGTCTCTGTTTCACCAATAG